CCCCCTTCCCCCTGCCGGTTGATCTGATTCAATCCTCTTGGCTGGGAGCTGGATGGTGAAGGGGTGTGGGACGTCAGAACGGGGGCTAAAAGAGGGTCGCATCTGTCATACCTTTTCCTGCCGTGCGATGGAAATTGGTTGACAGAAGGCAGAGAACGAGATGTAGGAATGAGAGCGTGGCTCACACAGCAAAGTGTACGCTTCGCTAACTCCTCTCTCTCGCCATAATTGGGTTTAGAAAGAATAGGGAGGAAAGAGGAGGGCAAGAATGACGCGACATCCGTTTAGAGGAGGCGAGTTTTGCAAATACACTCGCACTTTTGTGACTTACTATAGTGCGTACTACTCTGTATACTAAAAATGCTTGAATATGCCACGACCTGAGACATTTAGACCTTCGTTGACTGGAGACTGCACTCACTTTCTGTTTCCACTATTCGCTGAAAGTACAGTTTAAACACTATTATGGCTCGGCTAAAACTCTACAAGCTGTGGTATTTTTACAAGGGATCAGAATGACTCGCCAGGATGGAATATGCAGCCAAGAAAACCAATTCTGGGATTTTCAATTTCTTCGGCCTTGACAAGTAAGCGGACATGGGGGAGGAGCGAGAGTCATGGCATGTGCCATTTCGACCAATGGTGTAACCCATTTGCGCCTGGTCAATATAAACTGAGTGAAGGGTGTGCTACATCTTGCTGATGGTCAACCACAAAGTCCATCTGAATCAACTGTGAAAAACTCGGTGGCCTTGATTGAATTCATATCCTCGACAACGAGGGCAAGGCTTGGGTACAGGCAATCACCTAACCGAGTAAGCTTACACCCATTGGGGTCAAGTTATCTGGCCAACCTACGGCGATGTACTGAGTCGACCAGTGCGGATACAGAAAGCCGACTACCCTAGGGGATTTCCCGAGCAATCAATCTAGAGTCCACCAAGCTCGCATAATTAATAGGTCTTATTAGCTGCTCCGACAGCTTGTAACCAATAAGGAGTTCAAAGGCGTTCGCCTATATTTCCCTTGATAAACTGAAACTGAATGGCAGTTCCCGACTGTTCAATCTGGTGACAGTTCGACAATCGATTCCGACGATGTCCACCGTGTGCTACACAGCAAGGTGCACCAGACACGGTGACTTGCGCATGATTTAGTTAATTGTGATAGTAGACTTGCGCAGCATCTACCGCACCCCCTTCTCTCCCGCCTGCTCCCGGTGTCAAGACAGAGGGAGCGCAAGGGCATCTACCGGCAGGGAAGAAGGTGTCAGGGAACTGCCAGCACACACCAGGCTGCGAGGACCATGGTTTGCTGATACTGGCATAGCACACGATGCCAGACCTTTTGTCATTCTGATAGAAACTGAGACTTGCGCATCATGCAACTGAGCGAATTTTGAATGGGTCTTTGGAACGTCAAGCTCAATATCTTGTTATAGTTTGTTCGACTCCATAAGATAACTACGGCGTGAATTCAAGCTAGCAGCTCTGCGAACGTGAACCAAAGTCGAACCTCGACTAGTGGACTAAATACGGGTTTTATCTTGATTTAACCAGAAGAATACGTTAATTTGAACCAGTCAGGAAGTTGAGCCTTTGAAGTTAGCGCTTGGCAAGGCTTGTTGCGAAGACGAAGCATGTGGAGTGACACCGTGTAAAATGAGCCTTTGTTAATTCTGTCTGAAAATCTGAAATAATATGAAACAAAATGGTCTATGCGAGACTTGTCACTACAGTTCCAGACTTTACTGGAATACCCACTTAGTGTTCAACGCTTAAATTATCTGTAAGCAAGAAAATAATTCTGACATGATTATTATGTGAAGAGATCAACGCGCACTTTGACTGAGTAGAAATAGATACGTGGCTATGTATATCCCCCATCGCTCAATTACCGATTTAAACCCAGCAATTTTTCATCGGCGGAAACACGGCGGAACGAGGGCTAAGGCTCGGCCCATCATTTATCCCACTGAGCCCTGTCGGTTCACAAATCTCTATGAACAATCTAAAGCAATAAAAACAGGCAACACCAGCCACTGCACACACCGTACCCTACTATGACCTTCGCTGTCTCCAAGGCTGCATGAGTTTCAAGGCTCGGACAAGTAAGTCCGTGACCCCATCGATTAACCGGTTTTAACACATCCAAGCTCAAAGATGACCTCGGCTTCAAGTGTTTCCAACAGTTAATTTATGTTGGGGACTCGTGATACCAGCACGACTGACTGAATGATGGTAATAAAGAAGAATAGGCATTCCAGTCACCCAGACTTCGCCCCTTTGGTTTTCCTCAACTATTTATTGTGCGAAGTTAACTATTGC